TATATAGAAAGTTTCTCAGATGATAAAAGTTGTTCAGGAGCAGCCCTCTTCCTGACATAGACACTTTTACTAATGTAAATTTTCTTTTTTTTTCTAGTTTCTTTTCTTTTTTATTCTAATTTGTTATATATGACAGCAGAATGCATTACAGTTCATATTATACATATAGAGCACAATTTTTCATATCTCTGGTTGTATGCAAAGTATATTCACACCATTCGTGTCCTCATGCAGCTACTTAGGGTAATGGTGTCCATCTCATTCCACCGTCTTTCCTACCCCCATGCCTCCTCCCTTCCCTCCCTCCTCTTTGCCCTATCAAGAGTTTGTCTAATCCTCCCTTCTTTTATTAAAAGATAGCTTTTCAGAGGTACTCCCCTTCTGCAGTTTAAAATAGCTTGAAACATGGGGTGGCATATTCTGGTCTTCTACAGTCACATTTTGGGGGCAGTATGTCCTGAGCTTCAACACTCCTTTATAATGTAACCCTTTGGACTTTCTGATGGCTAACTGTCTGCCAGGGATCCGTTCTGGTTTTTGGTTTCTTTTTCCTCAGTTCTCATGCATATTGTCTAGTCTGTGTGTCTGCTTATCTTTGATTATGTCACAGACTTTATATTTGGACATCATTTTAGAAGTCATTTGAGGTCTAAAACTGTTCCCGGGACTCAGGTCTGGATGCTCACCACTCAAAAGCCAATACTCAGGAGATAAGAGTTGACTGGAAGGAAATCAGGTTTATTCAAGGGCTGGCCTCCTGGAAGATGGAGAGAGTGATGGTCTTCCAAGCTTCACCTTGGGGAACTTGAGTGCAAAGGAGGAGCAGGGAAAGAAGGTTCTATGCTGAGTGGGGTCTTTCTCACCCAGGCCTGTGTCTTTTTCCTTCGTCTCTTGCAGGGACATCACAATGTACCTCAACATACTGAGGTTAGTTCCTATAGTTCTTTATCCAAACATATTACTTTTCTTCAAGTTAAACCTCATGACAGAGTACATATTTGTGTTAGTTGATGGACGGAACTAAAGGCTGAGGAGTGGTGTTGTTATACAATCTGATTTATTTGAAGGTCACCAGATGTTCAGGGTTTGGGAAATCTAAATCAACATTATTGAGCAGGTAACATCTTACTTATTTAGGTACAGCCTCTCTTCAGAATTCAGAATGCTAGGTACCTTGGCATAGGGAGGTAAAGTGACCCTGCAAAGGGCAAATAGAGGGCAAAGGGCAACTTGAAAAGCAGCAGCCACTGTTAGAGTTTTCTAGTTCCAGATAGGATTTTATTTTGCTTTTGTCAGAGGCTGAATTTCATAAGCAATCTAGGGCACTTTGACAGATTGAGGTTTCTGGACTGATCTGAACATGAGAGGCAGCCAGGGTGAGGCTGGCTTACTTCTGTTTTGTCCTTAATTGCAGCGCTTTGGTGAGGAGTTCAAGTCCAAGTACAGAGAGGCTTACCACAGCCCACTGTTGCTCGGTATTGCTCAGCCTCTGAGCCACATGTTCCTGATGGAAAACTCACAGTGCAAAAGCAGCCCCAAAGGCCAAGCTTGTGCCTCTGAGTTTTACAGCCTTCTCATGATCTTGCCCCGGTATCTCTTCATTACACTGTTAGCTCTCTGATGCCTTCAAGATGATCTTCTTGTTTTATCCAGACTTTATAATTATCTTGAGAGTTGGTCTGAGTTTTCTACCATCAATGAAATCTTCCTCAAATTATAAAGTGGGGATCGTAATTGTACTTAACTTACACTATTATTGTCAGGGTCAAGTGAATGCTGAGAACTACCCGACACAGAGTAAGCATTTTGTAGATGTGAGCTGGTATTATTGTGTTCAAAATTATTTTCTTTCAGAACTCTGAGGGGATGTAACATTCCAATACAGGGTGAGCATCCCTAATCTGAAATCTGAAACACTTCTGGTTCCAATCATCTCAGAAAAGGAATATTCAACCTTTATCTATTTATGTTTATTAAGAAGTTGGATGCCAGCCAGGCATGGAGGCACTGGCCTATAATCCCACCTATTCAGAGGGCTGAGACGGAAGGATAACAAGTTCAAGGCCTACTTAGACAAGTTAGAAAGACCCTGTTTCAAAATAAAAAATAAAAGGGCTGCAAGGTGCAGCTCAGAACTTTCTTCACATGTGCAAAGCCTTAGGTTCAACTTCCTAGCACATTTTATGCAACCCTCAGTACTGCAAAAATAAAGAAATGCGTAAAAGATAAGTTGCATACCAGCCTTATTCTTGTGCCATTAGATTTTACTTTTCTCTTGGGACATTTTTAGGATATTCTTATTCTGCAGCATCATGAGACTAAGTCAAAGTGTGAGTCCTTACCCTGGTACTTCATAGGTCCTTAGATATGAAGATTCCCATCTTTAGTTCTGTGAACAGCCTCATTTTTTTCTCTTAGTTTATTTCTCCCTCCATTTGCTTTGTTCTCTTTTTGAAATGCTTATTAGATGGGTGTTGGAACCTTGAAAATTCCCCCAAACAAACAAAAAGACACCAACTTGAAGAACTATTCATAGTCATATAAAGGGGCAGCAGCTTCCATACCCTCCATCTTATCCACACACACATAGGAACTTGCCTCTAAACATTCTTTCCCAGCAGCTAAAATATGATTTCTTTTATTTATTCTGGGTAGTAACCGCTTCCTGAATTAACTTTCTCCCAGCTATTACCACAGGTACACATCACCTTTTATACAAACAAAAAAGAAAAAAAAATCCCTTTGAAGCTAAGTTCCTTTTTCTCCCACAGTGGGTCCTGAAAACCATGGAGAAATTTTAATGAGAGATGTTGGAAAAAAAGATGAGACTCAGTTGGACCAGCAGATGCCCCAAGAACAACCTTCACCTGTCCATCCAAAGAACAATGATAAATTGTCTGTGCCACAGTTGGTTCTACGGCGAGGACTCCTGCTCGTGGGCGTCATTTTAATCTTGCTATTGGGGATTTTAGTGAGAGTATATGTCAGAATTCAGTGATGTGCCAAGAGAGAGATGGTCAGTCAGGTCAAGGGATACAGATGTTCCTCAACTTACAATGGGACTACCTCCTGACAAACCCATTGTAAATTTGAAACTGTCACAAGCTGGGGCTGGGGTTGCAGCTCAGTAATGGAACTCATGCTTAGCTTGAGGGTCTAGGTTCAATCCCCAACACCACATGTATGTAAGTTGACAGTGCATTGAATCCACCTATCCTACCATTCAGTGTGAGTAACACAGCACACGGTGGCACATGATGGTGGGGCTGTGGGAGCTGCAACTTGCTGCTACAGCCCAGCATCTCAGAGAGGATCATACTGCGTTATCTCGAACCTGGGAAAAGCTCCAAAGTACAGTTTCTACTGAATGTGAATCACTTTTGAAGCATCATAAATGGAACCAGTGTTAAGTCAGGGACTACCTGTACTTTTGAGCTTACATACAAATAATTCATAGGCTTAGCAGCGGCAGTTCATTTTCAGATCCTGTAATTTAGTTGTGACTGTGGATTTTAAGAATGGAGAATTCAAAGATATATTTTTCTAATGAAGCAGAGAGACTAAGAAGGTAAACGGTTTATTTTGGTTCAAGGCGATGTCTGAAAGATGATGCTTGAGAAAAATTCACTGTCTTAACTAAGGACCATGGTGTACCATATTCACCTGACGCTTCCATGTTTCTTCTGCCCACTGTTTTCTAAGACACAACTCCATATAAAAAGTGCTTTAGGATTCTTACTGTGTGAATTATTTAATATATTTTACAGTACATCTTTCTTTGTGTCTTAGATTATTATTCAATGGCAGATGGCAAATTGTTTAATCTTCAGTTGGGGGCCCAGATCTCGGGCACTGTGGGTGCATAATTGAGGCAAGTCTTTAGAGCTGTTAATTATAATTCCTAGGGGTGGTGGTGTCAGAGGACAAAGTTTTAATAAAGGCCTTAGATCAAGTAGTAACCCTACTTCTTACAGCCTTCACAGTGTTAAGTACACACTGCTAATTCAGCAAACCTCTACATACTAAGTAAGGACAGTGCTCGAATGGATACATGACTAGGCTTGGCCTGTGCCCTGAAAGAACAGATAATGAACAAAATCAGAAAAGTTCGCTACTATTAATAAAAACCACCCAGCTGCTGATTTTTTTTTCCCCACTTTGCATTGCTGGGGATGAACCCAGGGTCTTGCACTTGCATGTGCTCTACCACATGGCTACACCCCCAGCCCTCCAACTTGCCTGCTTTGGTTGGAATTATCAAAAGGGATCTCTGCCTTCAGGACTTCATTCTTCCTGGGCCCCTAAATCGATCCTCATTCTCCAGCCACCAAGGTGAAGAAGATGTGCAGTGTATGTGGCCTTCCAGGTGGAGCCTGGGGGCCTGAGGCATCCACAAGGCCGACCCTACCCCAGCTCTTTATTAGGAAGCCCTCAACTCTCTCCTTGGGCCCCCCAACCTGATACCCCTGGAGCTCTAGAGGTATCTCCCACCCCTGCCCTTTTCCTTGGCCCCAGAACAGGTTCCTCTAGCTGCAAGGTGCCATGGCTACACAGACTAGAAGCCATACTGGCCGCAGTTTCAGTACCTTGTCCCCGCAGAGCCTACACTGGGGAACAGTAGGGTGGCGGTGGATGGGGATGGGGGAATGCCTGAACATCCCTTCAGCTGCGGCCTGGAGAAAGGTGTCCCCCGAAAGTGTTCTGTGGGTGTGGAGGATGAGGGAATTACAAAGTCCACTCTCCCTCCACACACCTTTTGCAACCTGTCTTGACGCCTAATAGAAACTCATCATCCTAGAGCTGCCCTCTTGGGCAAGCACCCCCTCCCCCCCGGGTTCTGGGTGTTGACGGTTGGACTGGGCGCCCTGGGCATGGTGGGGGGGGGTTGGCTGCTGGTCTCCGCGGCAGTGGACCATCGGCCGGCTGGGCAGGGAGGGGCGGGGCGGAGCAGGGAAGGGCAGGGCCATGCCGGGCGGTTTAGGTGTAGGGCCGGGCAGCCTCGGCCTCGCGCGCTCGCATTCGGTGAGCGGGCTTGGAGCCCCATCCAGAGCCGGCATGGAGGTCCCCGCAGCGGCCACCGAGTCCCCCGCGGACCAAGCCCTCCCACCGCCCGGCGTCCTCTGGCGACGCGGCTGCCTGCGGGGCTTGCGGGGCGCGTTGCCCTCGGACCTGCGGCGGGAGGCGCTGGAGCTGGCGGCGCTCGCGGGCCCCGTGGTGAGTGCGGTGGACCTCGCTGCGCCCGCCCGACAGCCCGCCGCAGCTGCAGTCGCGAGGCTTGGGCGCCCCTTGGGGCGGCTTTCGCGCCGTCCAGCGCGTTCCCCACCTGGCTGCGCGAAGCCCTGGTGGGAGGGTGGGTGTAAACTCCAGTTTCCTTTCTGTTCCCCGGGCAGTTCCTTGCACAGTTGATGATCTTTCTCATTAGCATCGTCAGTTCCATATTCTGCGGACATCTGGGCAAAGTCGAGCTGGATGCTGTTACACTTGCTGTCTCGGTGGGTGTTTATGTCCTTTTATTTGAGCTGATAACTGCAAAGTCTCAGCATTTTTATTTATTTATTTTGTTTTATTTATTTATTTATTTATTTATTTATTTATTTATTTATTTATTTATTTATTTATTTATTTATTTATTTATTTATTTATTTATTTATTTATTTATTTTGGTGGTGCAGGGGTTGTGCACACTGGGCTGATGCTCTTCCACGGAGCTACTACTCCCCCCCCCCAGCCCCAGCACCAAGCTTCAGAATTTAAATTGTGTCATGTCCTCCGTGACTTTTTTTTTTTTTTTTAGAGGATCTGGGTCTTGCTTACAGATACTGTTACCTGATCTTTAGATTTGAAGTAGATGGTGTCAGCTACGTAGACAAAGCTTTCTGAGCAGATCTCTAATTATAGAGGCACCAGGTCTTGTGAGGAATGTTAACAAGTAGATAAATTGGGCATATCTACTAAAATGAAAAGAACTGCATTTTTTTTTAATTTATGAAGTCAAACCAAAGTTATTTTCACAGTTTATTGGATCACACCAGCTCACCCCTGGGAAATGTGTCCCTTCCTCCTTGGCTTGAAATTACACCTCTTTAGATGTCTTCCTGGGTCTGTTAGTGAGAGTGGAAAACTGCTTCTCTTGTATTTAATCCAGGTTTTCAAAGAAGGTGAAGACCCATCCTTCCTTTTTTTCCCCCCCTTCCGTCCTCCCTAGGAGATGGGAATGCACAGTGAGATTGTGGAGGGTCATAGAAGTTTCTCATTCAGTCTCATCGGAGGAACCCTGGCTATGTGGAATCACATTTTATTTACGGGATCTTTACTGTATTTGGTGAACTGATCTGTTGTGCGAACATTTCTGCTTTCTTTGAGAGTTTAGATTGGCCCTTCAGAAAGTCAAGAAGGAAGATGGGTTTTTATATATGTCCCTTTGTCCTCTTCAGGAAAGATGAGCTTGGCCCCTGCATGGCACAGGGCCGCAGAGCCCTGGCCGACTCTGTGCTCCTGGTCACCCATGGGTTATGAATGTGTATTAATGGGGTGATGATCGGAGGCCAGGATTGAGGTCTGCTCTTTTCCTGTCTCTGCTTCCCAACCTGTACCCCCTCCAGAGCTCATTTCTGGGCAGTGCATCCTACACTTTTCGCTGTTCATGATATCTCATGGCCATCAGTGATCTCAGCCCCTGAATGCTCTCTCTTCTCTCTGTTGGAAGTGTGACTTGACCTCCCTGAATCTATTTCACTGTCTCCAGGACCTCCAAGTCCTCTTTGGGTGCCCCTTTCTGCACATTTTCATCCCTCAGTGTGGACCACAGTAGGAACTTTCAACTTTACTTTTTCAGTCTCTTTTTAGCCCTGCCCTGCACACTTTGCCAAACAGGCAGCACTTGACCTCTCAACCTCCCATTTCACAACCCCCCCACTCCTTTTTGTCACCCCTCCCCTTCAAGACTCACCTTTCATTGTGTTCTGGAACCTTCCTTTCTCCTCCAACCTCTTAAGCTTTATATATTACCACCCCATTAGAATAAACCTATCAAGATCTTCTTTTTCAATAAATACATCCCTGTCCATCCATCCTGCTCTCTGACCTTTATTACCTATGTTCTTTGCCAGAAGCTGACACTCTGTCTTCATTTCCTTCTTTCCCATTACAGTCCAGCCTCTGTTCTCCCACTTCTCCATTTAACTTGCTCTGACAGTTGTCAATGACTCCTTCCCACCCCTTTGTCAGGACAGAGGACTCACCTTGTACTCTACTTCCCTAGCCCCCCAGGAACCTGCCATCTGTATTTCATCCTGGTCTGCCTTGGCTACCTGTGACCTCTCTGATAGTTGCACTCTACTTCCTCTCCTCTCCCCTCTTCCTTCCTTTTTCAATGCCCCCTGTTTATTGGTGTCTCCCAAATTGGTACCTCCACCCTTGACTTGGGCTTCCAGCATAGCACTGCTTGCAGGATGGATCAACTGGAAGACACGGGGATTTCTGGAACACAGAGAGTTTGAAGCTACTCCCTGGAGTTGCTAAGTACTGCCTTTCTTATTTTATTTTTTAATTGATTGTTCAAAACATTACAATGCTCTTGACATATCATATTTCAAACATTTGATTCAAGTGGGTTATGAACTCCCATTTTTACCCCGTATACAGATTGCAGATTCACATTGGTTACACATCCACGTTTATACATATGAGGGATAGGAAAGGCAGCAAAATACAACAGACACTAGTATGGAAGTATGCCTTTCTTATTTATTTTTTTTTTTTGAATTTTAACATTTATTTATTTTTTCTTAGTTCTTGGCGGACACAACATCTTTGTTGGTATGTGGTGCTGCTGAGGATCGAACCCGGGCCGCACGCATGCCAGGCGAGCGCGCTACCACTTGAGCCACATCCCCAGCCCCCTGCCTTTCTTATTTTTAAAAAAAATTTTTGTGGTCGTGGGGATGGAACTCAGGACCTCACACATGCTATGCAAATTCTCCACCACTGAACTGCACCCCCTACACTCCCAGCACCCCTCTTTTATTTTTTAGACCCCCAATTTGCATTACCTAGCAAGCCCTCCTAACTTTATTTCCATCACTCCTTAGAATTCCTGTCTTCCTTCTGTTTTACACTCCCCTCTTCTGGACCCTTCTCCATCCTTCCTGCTCCCCTCCATCTGCCAGACTTTTGCTGACCTCCCAAGACTAGAGGCCCTCTCTCATGTTCCCATACTCTGTGGCTGCTGGGTCTTGGCCCTGCATGCACTGTGCTGAATATCTCTGTCTCTGGTCTCTCTTTCTTGCTGATCCATCTGAGAATTTACATTCATTTTTGCTCAGCTTGGTTCCTCATACAGATTTGGTTTAACCAAATATTTCAGAGAAACACATAGCTCAGGTGTCCTGCCCTGAGAATTACTCTCATCTGGGCATCTCCTGCTTTGTCTATTTTTCTTCTCACCTTCAATCCCATCCCTTTATGATTTCCATCTGTAAACATGGTGAGGATTTAAAGCATTATTGTATATTTATATAGAGTTCTATGACTCCTGTTCTTTCATTTGTCTTATTAAAATTATTTTAAAATGTACATGGGGGAAAAACACTAAACTAAAATGTTGTATGTAGTTGGTGAAAGTTTTCTTCTCTCTTTCTGTGTAACCCCAAATCCCACCCAATGATAAAGGAGATAGAAAAGATTTCCTAGTTTTTGATGTAAAAATAAAAAGAATAGACTAAATACAGATCTACAATTTTAGAGAAAGGTCTGAAGATGGCGGACAACCCGTGGGAAGGTTGGTGTGTTCCACAGGCAGGAATTTTTGCAGATAAGGTAGTAGATTGGGACCTCTGCTGTCAGCTCTTGACAACTGGGTGGGGATTCTTTGCTTTTAATCAGTTATTAAATTGTAACTAACTTCTGGGAAGACAGTATACAATGACTTTATTTATGAAAACCAGATACATTTTTTTAAAAAATTGCCTGGGGCTGAGAGTGTGGCTCAGTGGTAGAGGGTTTGCCTAGCATGTGTAAGGCCCTGGGTTCAATTATCAGCACCACAAAAGGAAAAAAAATTGACCTTATGAACAATAAGGTCAAAAATAAGATCCAACTTTTTGTAGTATAAAAGTATTTACATCAGTAAAGTCTTTTAAGTGAAAGAACATTTGTTTATGTTCCATCGTGTTCCACAAAGACTTTGAGCTGATTGACATAAATACATTCACTATGGAAAGATAAATAAATAGCTGTAGCAGTGGAGTGAAGGAACATGGATGGAGGGAGACTGGAGGGGGGCAGGCAAGGGCAGCCCCAGACCAGCTGCAGGTCTACTCTTAGCTCCTTGCTTGTGTGATTCTCAGTGAAGCAATATTGTATTTGCTATGATCACTTTTGGATAAGCTGAGTTACAAAGTTTCTGATACTTGCTTACTCAGATGGTATGACCTGGACCATTTATTCAAAGGAAGGAGGGTTTCTCTGGAGACTGAGGCATAGAGGCATTTATTTCTCTTATAGATTCTAATACAGTGGACACTACATTTGTGTCCTAGACAACTTGCCATGAGAGACACTGTAGCAATTTTTGTCCCATCTTTTGTTATAAAGTTGTGCATGATAGGGAAGAGGCATAATAATAGTTTAAAATAGTAAAAGTTGGTAACAAATGAAGCAAAGGGGTTCTGACTGTATTCTATGGCCAGCTGAACTTGACCAGGGATGAGCCATGAGCCGTGAAAGAAGAATATTATCCCAAGCCAACAAAGTTGGCCTGCTTACCAAAAACTAAAACTAAACCAAAGGAAAAAACTCCACAACCTTTTCAGAAATTAGCACACTTCACCTTTTCCTTTTATGGAAGGCTGAAGTGGCTTTAGAGGAATTCAGCATTGTGGCATCGATGCCTCACGTCCATGTCTTCATTGTGTCATAAGCCCTCTGGATCTCATTTGGGTCCTGGCTCTTGCCTTGTCGGGTAAGCACTGGGTATTCCATGTGTATGGCCTGTTACTGGCCTCCTGGGGTTAGTGTTTCAGTCTGTTTTCTTTTGCTATAAGAAAATACCGGAGGCGGGGAATTTTAGAAATAAAAGAGGTTTATTTAGATCACAATGTTGGAAATTCAAGAACATTCACTGACTTCTGCTTGGCTCCAGTGAGGCCCTTCTGGCTACAACCCAATAAAGTCTATGACTTCATGGTCAGAGCACTGTGAGAGGGAGAGTTCACGTGGTATGACAGGAAGCCAAAGCTGGGCATAGTGACACACGCCTGTAATCCCAGCGACTTGGGAGACTGAGGCAAGGTGGATTGCAAGTTCACAGCCAGCCTCAGCAACTTAGTGAGGCCCTATTTCAAAATAAAAGATTTTTAAAAAGGGTTGGGGATGTGGCTCAGTGTTTCGGCACCTCTGGGCTCAATCCCTGGTACCAAAAAAAAAAAAAAAAGAACAGGGCCAAGCTTTCACTGCAAGACTCCCCCCCACACACACACACATTTCTTTGTTTCCTTCTTTTTTAAAAATTTATTTATTTATTCTAATTTGTTATACATAACAGCAGAGTGCATTTCAATTCTTACTACACACATAGAACACAGTTTTTCGTCTCTGGTTGTACACAAAGTAGAGTCACACCATTTGTGTCTTCATACGTGTACTTGGGGTAATGATGTCCATCTCATTCCACCATCTTTCCTACTCCCATCCCCTTCTTTCCCCCTCCCTCCTCTTTGCCCTATCTAAAGTACCACACACCTAAGCTCCTCCCCTCATCTGTGGGTTCCTCTCTGTGCACTGGGTTGTGGGGGGACTGGGTAAGGTCCTGTTTCTCACTGGAGGACTAAAGCCTGGGGTCTGAGTCAGACTTCCCAGATCCAGTAAGCAAGTATCAAAAACTTTGTAACTCAGCTTATCCCAAAATTAGGAAAAGTGATCATAACATCATATATGCAAAGGGTTTAGGACTGCTTGGCACATGGTCCATGTTCAGAAATGTTTGCTGTTGTTATTTTTATTATTTTAGATACGTTTTTGTGTGTGCATGTGGTGCTGGGAATGGAACCTAGGGTCTTGCACATATAAGGCCAGCACTCTGCCACTGAGCCACACCCTCAGGCCTAGTTTTTTATATTGAAATGTACATCTTACTGGCAGATCATGGGCATGGCCTTTAGACACTAACCACAACTTTTATTTTATTTTTGCTTTATAAATTTTTATTTGTGCATTATGATTATATGTAAGAGTGGAATTCACTGTGCCATATTTGCTCACGATCATAATATAATTTGCTCCTAGGACCTTCCCTTTCCCTCTCTTTTTTCCCTTCCCCATCCACTTACTCTATTCTACTGATCTCCCTTCTATGATTTTTATGTTAATTACTGCACTAACAACTTTTAAATATGGAAATGGTAATGTGCTACATAAAAAACTTATTTTCTAGGTTTTATTTATTTATTTTTTTAAAACCTTATTTATTTATTTGTTTATGTGCAGTGCTGAGAATCAAACCCAGTGCCTCACACATGCTAGGCAAGTGCTCTACCACTGAGCCCCAGCCCCAGCCTATTTTCTAGGTTTTAGATTTTCCAAATCAATGCAGGGTGATCATAGTCCTTTGGTTAGAAGGTCCATTTTTGTTTAGTTGACAAGGACCCATGTGGACATCCATTTGATCTGAAATGCAGAACCTTAAGTATACAACTATGAGTTGCTGTCTAAAATTGAGCCCACTGTGGTTCCTTGGTGTCAAGGGAGCTGTTTGGTGGTGACACTGCCGCAGCTGTCCTGTTGTGTCTTGCAGGTTGTGAATGTTACAGGGATTTCGGTTGGAACTGGCTTGGCCTCGGCTTGTGACACATTGATGTCTCAGGTGAGGACCCCCTTGCCCAGAGAATTTTGGGGGCAATTACCTTTCCTAATAGAGACTGCCTGGGGAGAACTATCCATCTATGGTTTGTGGCCCTTTATGTGTCAAATGCAATGCTGCTAATGATGGTGAATATGGCACGCTTGGCTTCAATATGTCAAAAGACAAAATTACAACAAATCTAGTTTATGATCAGAGTGGCCTTTATTTGCTGTTTGTGAATGGGGACCACAACCTTCTGTAAAACAGAGTAAGCGCTCTCACCAGGCCATACCAGAATAGAGGATTTTAGAAGGCGGGTAATAGTCTCAGTACCTGGGAGCAGGGACCAATTGTCCCATGAGGTATAGAAGGCCACAGAGGCCAGCTAGCTTACTGACTGGCTGTGCTGGGAAGCTTTGCCTTCACTGCTGGGCTGAGGGGGCCACTGGAAGTATGGCCTTGGCCGGTGGCATTCGGTGGTACTCTTTCTGTTTTCTCCAAGTCCTTTGGAGGCAAGAACCTAAAACGTGTTGGGATCATACTGCAAAGAGGAATCCTCATCTTGCTGCTGTGTTGCTTCCCTTGCTGGGCCATCTTCATCAATACCGAGAACCTCCTCCTGCTCCTGAAACAAGACCCTGAAGTCGCCAGGTCAGCAGCCTCTCCATTTCAGAATCCTAGGTGAAGAGTAAGCGGCTGTCTAGGCTGGGGGTGTGACTCAGGTAGAAAGCCCACTCATCATGTGCCAGGCAGAACAAGAAAAAGTGTCCATTGGCCATTCATTGTACCTGTGTTGGTATTTTTAGTCCCTTAGATGGACTTGAACCCTTTGATATTGGAAGCTGTGACTGTGGACCCTAGAGTCCCAGGTGCAGGGACTGCCTGACCCAGAGATAAGAAGCAGCCTAAGGGTGCCATGCCCTTGGCTCCATTTCCCTTTATGTTGTCCCTCTATTTTGGTGTCCTGCAAATGCACAGAATATGTTTCCCCTGACAAAAGTAGAATACCACATGGTTGTCTTCATTATCATTTTTTTGGAGTTGGGTGTTTTTTTTGTTTTGTTTTGTTTTTTTTAACATACAATTTAACATAAATTCCGGCATGGCCTCTGGTGTTGTCCTGGAGTATGGGATCCCTTCTAGAGGACTCTCGCTCACTGTGAGGTGGTCCTGATGCTTTCAGAAGGCTTCTGAATTGTGCTCAAGTTTGAGTTCATTTTGATCTGTTCACCGCGGCCCCAGAAATCATTATTGATTAATATTAATTATTAATATTATTAATATTAACAGAAGACTCTTTGGTTGTTTATTCCAGGATAGCCCAAATTTATGTGATGATTTTCATTCCTGCTCTTCCCGTAAGTTTCCATGCTGCTGTGTTTGATTTGAAGCAACTCATGGGTGTCACCCTGCACTTGCCTCTTGCTCCTCCACCTCTTGTTTATTTATCAAAGAACTATTAACACAGAAGGTCAACATTTATTTCTTGGGCCTGTCTTCCCTACCTTGATGATTCTCGGAACTTGTGCCACTCTAATGTCCAACAGTTTAGGTTTAAATCAAGAAGGAAAAAAAAAATCCTTCTTGATTCTTTATCCCATGGTTACTTTTGATCACATATTATTCAGAATGTTTCCTGAGCTCCCTGGGGAGCCACGCAGAATGTCAAGGTTGTGGCTTCTTCTTCAGCCAGTTACAATTTACCTTCCTGCTCTTTAGGAAGTAATCTTCCATCTACTCTGGGAAATTCTAAATAGCATTGGGTGTCTTAGCATTTAATTAGAGTAATTCTAATTTTCTGAGTTTGAGATCACATAATCAGGAGGAAATATCTTATTAGAAACCAAATCTGGAACTGGGGATATGGCTCAGTTGTAGAGCCAAGCATACATGAGGCCCTGGGTTTAATCCCTAGCCCTGCAAAAACAGTAAATGAAGTAAATAATGTGGGTACTGAAGAGTGATTATATTTGTTTTTCTGTTTAATCTTGTAGGCAGCATTCCTGTTCCAACTGCAGACAAGATATTTACAAAGTCAGGTATTGATTCTTCTCGTATTTTCAATCTATAGTCCTGGAAATGTATATTAAATATCTTCAATAAAAGCAATTCATATTTTCCCCTATAATTATTTTCCATATCTCCTGGAGTTTTCTATCAGAGAGCTGTGGGTCCTTGTATCATCCAGCACAAGAGAGATACCTATGTCAATCTGTCTAGTTCCTCTGGGTCATCTCTTTTTTTCTTTCTGTAGCTCCCACACCCACCCACTCTTCTAGGGGCTGGTGCTGGCTTTGCATCTGAGGTGGGATCTGGCGCTAAGCTTCTGAGTTAGAGGGTGAGGACCTGGATTTATTATGGCCACCTTCCTGAGACTGCATGGAGCCCACCATGCTTCGTTGGTGGAGACAGAGGAAGGGAGGAAAAGAGAAGGCCAAGGGTGGGAGGTGGGTGAGTAGGGACAGAGGCTGAGTTCCCCCTCATTTTCTCCTCCAAGTCTATCCATAGGCAAGCAACCTGCTTGCCATTAATCATAAAGTCAAGGTCTGGCAGGAGTGGGAGGTGGCTCTGTGGTAGAGCTGTTGCCTACCATGTACATGATTGTACTTTCAATGCCTAGCACCACACAAACAAAAAAAACCCAATAAATAAATAAATAAATAAACATGGAGGCAAAATTGACTGAAGCCAGAATCCTTGCTGCTTTGATAGCAGTCTACTCTGCTTAAATACAGAGGTAGTAGGGATTTAAGGAAGTTTTACCTAAAGAAAATGCTTATCTGAGTACTAGCACCACGGAGTAAACAAAGAAACGAGCAACTGGCACCATAAAACAAAGGGCTGAACATTGTATGCACACCTGCTACGAGTCAGGCATTGCTGAGTGCTTTGCACCTGAGAACTTAATCCTTGCCTGGGGAGCAGTCCAGCAGCTTGGCCCCAGCATCTCCCGGATGCTCTCTCTTTTACGTGTCTTGCCGGGGCCTGTTTGCTCTTTGTGTGAATATTCCCTCTTTTCTCTCTCTGCTTCTGTTATGAAAACTGACCTACCAGGGCTTTTAGAAGCATTTAAAAACTTCCATTGGCTTGGCCAGAAGCTGCACTAATAGAGGAGACACTTCTGCTTGTTTCCGCCTCTGGCCATTCCAGTCTTGTGTGACTTTACCATCATTTAAAATTGGCACTTTGTTTAACTCTGATTGTTCACTTCACAGCCTCACTAACTCGCTTTTGAAAAACGAATGATTTTCTGTTTGGGGATTTCAGGGCATCATCATGCCCCAAGTTATTACTGGGATTGCAGCGAATATTGTCAACGTGGGCATGAATGCCCTCCTGATGTATGCCCTGGACCTTGGAGTGGTGTAAGTTGCAACCTATTCATTCAGCAAAGACTGAGTGTCTACTATGTGCTAGCTCCCCTCCTAGGGGCTGGAGAGACAGGGAGTGAAGCAGTCATTAGAGGGAATACGGTAGGTGAGCAAGCACACCTAGTGGTCATTGTTCATACCTGTATGACAGATAAGAGCTTGCTGTGTGGGATCCCCAAGGAGGAGCAGTCAGCTCTGGAAGTTGGAAGGGGGAGTGGTAGAGATTATTTAGGTGGAGAGATAGGGAGGGGTCTTGGAGGAGTGGCTGTGTAAGCTGAGTGTTTGCTTGGAGGGAGTTGCTACTTTAAAGGCTGAGGCAGAGGGAGACAGGTGCCTACAGGGATTCTCCCAGTATCTCTGAGTGTTAAGAGATTGAGGAAATGAGGGTTCCACAGAGAAAAGTTGGTCAGTTTGAGCTCCCCTTGGTAAGCATCCTGCACTCGAGGACTCGCACCTCTAGCCCAGAACCAGCCTTGGCACTTGTGTCTATTGAGTGGCCATGCCACCATGTGCAGACCAAGCCACAAGATTTTTGAGGTACTTCAGGGTAGTGTGTTCCTTTATAAAGAAAAATAATTTTAGTGGATCATGGCCAGCACTTTTTTAAAAGGGAAATATTAAGAATTAAACAGAATAAAGTGAAATAGACTAGAAAGTATGAAGTGCATCAACTATTATGGGGGTGTTTTTTATGAGACTCTTTTCAGTTCTCTATGGGTGGGTGAGTGTAAAGGTGCTGATAATTTGTGCCCTGAATAGCAATGGGAACTATTTTATTACCATTAAAAGCCATCAGTTAAAGAATAGCAGAGGATCTGAACATCAGAACACATTAGTGAAAACCCACATGTAACATCTTCCTTATGCTCAAAAGCTGAAAGAGGCTTTGACTGTGGGGGAGTCAGAGTGCAGCAGGCAAGAGTGAGGACAGTGGATTGACCACCCAGACAGCTTCTCCTGTGACGTGAACCTCAGAGACTGTCTCCTAGGAGTTCCGAAAGAGACATAGTCAATGCAGTTTGAGGATTGGGAAAGGGAAGAAGAAATTTAGGAATAGGTTAACAAATGATTAAAGGTGACACTGAGAATGAAATTCAAAAATAGACAAAGTGACAGAGTTCCCGTGCTAGCATAGGGCATTTTTATTTATCACAGTCGGTGATAAAATGTCACCTACTGAAGATGCCCCAAGGTTGGGTTCTAATGAGAAACAAGTTTATTATCTTGGGAAATAAAATTCTATGACCTGGATCAGTGTTTTGAACACAGTTGCTGGTTGATATATCCTTTCTGACTACTTATATCTTAGAAATTATATGACAGATTTTTTTTTTTTTTATCAAGGCAATGGCGGTAAGTCTTTATCTCCTTTTATTTTCCAATTGATGGCTAGTAACATTGGGTCATTCCACAAAACTCAAATCTTGCTGCAAAGAAAAACGAGTCTATCATAAATGAATTTAGTGTTTAAAACATCCAAAGAAGATAGCCCAAGAACTCCAGGCTTATCTAATAACTGTCACCAGAGAGCAAAACTGGTCAGGGGCCACCTGGTGGTGTATACTTGGAAGGATCCACTCAGTGGTAATGATGGCTTTTTCTCCTTCAGAGGATCTGCTTGGGCCAACACCACCTCCCAGTTCTTCCTGTCTGCTCTTCTTTTCCTCTATGTGTGGTGGAAAAAAATCTACATCGACACCTGGGGAGGTATGGTGACATTGTTTTCTTACCTTATGTCACTTGATATTCAGGTAGATGTAATTGTGATTTCCAATTTATTTTTTCTCACAAGGTGTTCCGGTTTTTATCTTTTGGGAAATCTAAAATATTACATAAATGTTTTAAGTTATTGAAAATATAAAAGTTTCAGGGTGATGTGTGATTTTTTTAGGTGGCTTTGTTCATAGAAGACTATTTATAGCTATTGAGTTTTGAGAACTAATATTTAAGTCGGGCATGGTGGTGCACGCCTATTATCCAGTGGCTTGGGAGGCCGAGGCAGGAGGATGGAGAGTTTAAAGGTAGCCTTAGTGAAAGCAAGGTGCGAAGTAACTCAGTGAGACCCTGTCTCTAAATAAAATACAAAATAGGGTTGGGGATGTGGCTCAGTGGTCGAGTGTTCCTGAGTTCAATCCCTGGTACGCCTCCCCCCGAAAAAGATCAATATAGAATAAATTAAAATTACTAATACAAAATCCTAATTTTTTTCTTACAAATTATCCTGTTGTATGAAAGTGAAATTTGATTTATGTTTTATCAACTCAAGTGAGTAGACTAATCTCTGTGAAATAATCAGAACCATTTGTGACTTAGCTAAATTCCCTTGGGCATTTAGCAATGCATTGGTAAGCATAATGTTAGATTTGTTTTTATTTCTGTTTTTCTATTTTCCCATCTTTATTAAGGTGCAATTAACAAATTATACACATTTAAGGTTTACAACGTAATGTTTCAATATACATGTATTTTGTGAGATGATTGCTGGTGTATCTTCATCACCTCATACAGCTACCCTTCTGTGTGTGGCAAGAATATGCAAGATCTATTCTCTGGGAAAACTTCAACTGCACAGTAGATCATTATTAACTGTACTCACCATGTTGTTCCTGTAGTCTCCAGAACTTATTCATTTTATAACTGAATGTTTGAACCCTTTGAACAACATGAATCCCTTTCCCCTACCACCTAACCCTTGGTAACTCCCCTCCTGCTGTTTCTGTTAGTTCAACTTTTCAGGTTCCACACATAAATGAGATCATGCAATATTTATTTTTCTGTGTCTGGCTTATTTCACTTAAAATAATGTCCCCTGGATTCATCTGTATAGTCACAGATGCTAAATTTTTAAAATAATATTCCTGTGTGTGTGCACTACATTTTCTTTATCTGTTCATCTCTTGATGGACACGTAGGTTGTTTCCATATCTTGGTTATTGTGAAAAATACTGCAGTGGACATGGGAGGTCAGATAGCTCTTTGAATTCCTGATTTCATTTCCTTTTCTTCTTCTTGCCTCATTGCTTTGGTTGTTATTTTTAGGACTATATTGAATAGAAGTGGCAAGGGTGAGAACATGTCTTGTGCTCGACTTTAGAGGAAAAGCTTTCAACTTTTCACATTTGAATATGATTTTAGCTGTGGGATTGTCATGTGTAGGCTTTAATGTGTTAAGACATATTCCTTCTACACTTAATCTATTGAGTTTTTATAATGAAAGGATATTGACTTTTATCAAATCTTTTCTGGATCTATTGGGGTAATAATGTGGTGTCACTTGTATTTATCATATCCAGGGATAAACCCCACTTCATTATGAGTGAGCACCTGTTAATGTGCTGTTGAATTTGGTTTGCTAGTATTTTATTAAGAATTCTTGTATCTATATTCACCAGGGATATTCACCTGTATTTTTTTATAGTAATGTGTTTATTTGAATTTGGTATCAGGATTATTCCAGCCTCATAAAATGAAGTATGGAACTATCCCCTCCTCTTCAGTTTTTGGAAGAATTTAAGAAGAATTCCTCCTAAATGTTTGATAGAATTCATCAATAAAGCCATCAGATCCTGGGCTTTGCTTTGATGGTACATTTTGAATTACTGATTCAGTCTTCTTACAGGTTATTGGTCTGTTCAGATATTTTGATTTTTCATGATTCCATCTTAGTGGGTTTTATGTTTTTAGGAATTTGTCCATTTCTTCTCAGTTATTCAACTTTCGAATAATTGTTCTTAGAGGTCTCTTTATATTTCAGTGGTATATGTCTCCTCTTTCATTTCTGATTTTATTTATTTGAGTCTTGTGTTTTCTTAGTCTAGCCAAAGCTTGTCAGTTCTGTTTCTTTTCAAAAAACAAAGTCTTAGTTTCATTGATCTTTTCTATTGTGTGTATGTGTGTGTGTGTGTGTGTGTGTGTGTGTGTTGTGTTTCATTCATTTCTGTTCTAATCTTTGTTATTCCTTTTACTAACTTTGGGTATAGTTTGTTCTTTTTCTAGTTTCTTGAGGTGTAAAGCTTAGGGTGTTTATTTGAGGTCTTTGTGTAGGACTTCACTTCAATAAACTTTCCTCTTAGAATTGCTTTTGCAGCATCATGTTTTTGTATATTGTATTTTCATTTGCATTTGTTTCAAGATAATTTTGATTCCCTTTTGGGTTTCTTTGGTTATTCAGGAGTGTGTCATTTAATTTCTACAAATTTTTTATTTTCTAGTTTCTCCTATTATTGATTTCTAGTTTGCTTCCATTGTGGTCAGAAAAGACATTGATATGATTTCAAGCTTCTTAAATTTGTTTTGTAGTTTAATATGTGGTCTATCCTGGATAATGTTCCATGTGTGCTTAAGCAAAATTTATATTCTTTGGTTGTGGGATGGTCTGTTTGGTCTAAAGTGTAGTTCAAGTCCAGTAGCTTCATTATTGATTTTCTGGGTGAATGATCTACCCATTGTTGGGAGTAGGGTACTGAAGTGTCCTACTATTTATTCTTGTATTGCCATTGATTTCTCCCTTTTGATATGTTAATATTTGCTTTATATATTTAGGTACCCCAATGTTGGGTTCATATATACTTATAATTGTTATATCCTCTTGATGAATTGATAACCTTTATGTAATGACTTGGTCTCTTTATATAGTTTATTACTTAAATCTATTTTGTTTGATATAAGTATTATTACCTCATCTCTTTTTGTTTTCACACAGGTAGCACAACTTTTTCTTCCTGTCAGTTTTAATCTATCAGTGTTTCTAAAGGTGAAATGAGTTTCTTGTTATCAACATATAGTTGGATCATAGAGCATAGTCACTCTGTGTCTTTTTGTTGGAGATTTTAATCCATTTACATTTAAAGTAATTCTTGGTAGGTTAAGAACTTATGATTGACATTATGTTAATTTTTTTTGGCTTTTTATAGACTATTGTTCCTTTTTTGCTCTCTGGCTGTCTTCTTTTGATGAATTTGATGATTCCTTTCTCTCATTTTTTTGTTTTGTTTATCTACTATAGGTTTTTGCTTGGTTGTTACCATGAGATTAACATGAAACATTTTAGTTATAACAGCCTGTTTTGAACTGATAACAACTTCAATCACACCTCTCTTCCGTTTTACCACTCCCACTCATGTTTCCATGTTACCATTGTATCTTTTCATATTATAATATTCATTAACAAATTACTGTAGCCTTTTGTCTTTTAATCCTTATTCTAGAGTTTCAAGTGATCTGTGCATCACCTTTACAATACTAGACCATTCTGAATCTGACCACAGTCTTACCTGTTCTAGGGAGTTCCCTTTCTTATCACTGCTCCAGCTCCCTGTTGGGCTCTAAGGACACCTTCCTTCATGCCATTCCATTGGGTGCCCTGCACCCTTATGCAGTTCTTATTTCCCCCCTTTATCCTTGTTGCTCAATTGGAATGTGTAGTCTTTAAACATCCTTCCTGTCCATCTGGACACCAATTAATTATTTTTTAAATTTGTTACATTACTTTTAATTGAAAAATCATAATTATATTACATTTATGGAGTACACCTTGAGACTGTGATGTATGTATGCAATATGAAGTGATTAAATCAAGCTGATTAACATATCTATCACCTTACATTTTTGTGGTAAGACATTTAAAATTTACTTTTAGTTATCTTGAAACATAGTACATTATTATTAACTACTTCTTAGTTATTTTGAAAGATACAATGCATTGTTATTGACTTGTCACCCTGCTCTGGAGGAGATCCCAAAGCTTATTCCTCCTGAAATCTGAAACTTTGTGGTCTCCAAACCAATAACTTCCTCCTCTCTCCCATCCTTGGTAGCCATCATTTTGCTATCTACTTCCCTGAATTTACCTTTTTTGAGATTCCACATATAAGTGAGATCATGTGGTATTTGTTTTTCTGTCTGGCTTATTTTTACTTAGCTTAATGTCTTTTATTCATGTTTTCCCAAATGACAGATTTTTATTCCTTTTTAAGGCAGAATAGTATTCTATTATGTACACACACACACACATACACCATTTGTTTTATTCATTGGTCCATTGATGGATGTGTAGGTTGAAGACATGATTCCATATCTTGGCTATTGTCAATAATATTACAATGAACATGGGGTACAGATATTCTTTTGACATATTGATTTAAATTTCACTGGATATATTCCCAGTAGTAAAATTGCTGGATCATAAGTTAGTTTTATTTTTAGTTTTTTTAGGAACCTCCCTCTTGTTTTCCATAATGACTGCATTAACATTTCTGCCAACAGCATACAAATATTTGTCCCCTTTTCTCTGCACTCTTGCCAATACTTGATGTCTTTCATTTTTTTTAAATAAAAGGTATTCTAACTCTTCTATCTCATGGTTTTAATTTACATTTTCCTAATAATGAGTGATGCTGAACATTTTCTCAGGAACCTGTTGGCCATTTGTATGTCTTCTTATGAAAAGTGTTCAGATGGGACCAAATTTAAATTGCATCTGATTTTATTCTTTGTCTTGCGTCTTTGGTCCCAAGGATGCATCATTAAAGTCATAAATTACTGAACATTTAAAAGCCATGTAGGGCTGGGGGTGTAGCTCAGCAGTAGACTCTTTGCCTTGCATGTGCAAGGTCCTGGATTCTATGCCAGTGCATGCACATTCACATGTGCATGTATGTGCATAGGCATGCGCACACACGCGCGCACACACACACACACACACACAC